CCTGTGATACCATACTTCATCATCCATTTCATTGCTGCAAAAAAAAATGTGCTGTTTTCACCATTAGCTTTCTAAATCTCTGCAAACTGATTTAATCACCTTCCTTCAAATCTTTTCCTGTAACTCCTCACTGGTGTTATGTCCAAAAGAAGCCACTCCAATGCTCAATTGGCTTATATTTGACACTTCATCCCAGCCTTGTGACCACAGCTGTCTTCTCATTTTGTTCTGTGTTCTCATGCTTAATTAATTCTTGGCTTTAATTTCAGGTTGTGAACTCTGCAGCAGTGACTAATTTTTTGTGGGTTTTCGCAGCAGAGTCCTGACCTGGGAATACTCAAGTGATCCCCACAGTAAAACAGACAAGGTGAAGAACTCTGCTTGAGCTCTGTTAGGGGGATTCCTGGGGTACAGCTGCAGTGGTGCTGGACAGCTGCATGTAAGATGTGTTCATATCCTTGTGAATTTTTAGTGCCCTCCAGCCCAGATATGGTTTTACCATTCCATATTTAAAAGTGGAATTAGTTGAGAACATTTCCAAGACAAAGGCAAAGTTCTTAATTTAATACCATAAAGGAATTAACACCTTATCCCACAATTGTAGCTTATTTGGGACTCAACTATTACAAACAGGCCTCCCACAAATGAAGATTGATCTTTACGTGCAGTATACAGAACACTTTCCATACACAGATTTCTTGGAGCGTTTGGGGGAGTCTGATTGCAATCTGAGGGCTCTTAAACTGAGAGTTGCTCTGTTGCTGTGTGTTGGTACTGCTGCATATTTTTGTGCTTTTTTTTCCCCAGACTCTTGGATTACTCTCCAGATACTTGTGATTGTTGTGCTTTGAGCTTGATGACTGGAGACAGTAACTGTAGCACTTGCTCTGCTAGATCGGATTTAGAAAACCAAACCCTGTTGTTGGGATGTAATTCCTTCCGTGTAAATTCGAGTTAAGGTTAATGTCATATAAGCTCCACTGTTATCCTTTCTAAGTCATGAGCCGTGCAGCAAAGAGCATTAGAAAAGCTTCATTTGATCCCAGCTCTTGGGCCTTTGGGGAGAACAAATAAGAGAGGATTGAAGGCAAAAGTGTGTTGTTAGAGGTTGGCAGGAAAAATTTCAACCTGAGGCTTAAGGAGCTGTCCCTGATGAAAGACAAGTAACTGGATGTGTCTTTGTGATTGAAAGACAAGAAGTTTTAATGCATTTTTATCCTTTTGGTGTCCAAAAGGTCAGCTTAATACTCAAGTTTAACACAGAATAATGTGATGGAAAAGTGATAACGTTTGGATAGAATAGGTTAAAATGCTGCTACATTGCTTCGATTTCTTGTCCCATTACTTCTTCCTTTTAGCTTGGTAATTGCAAGAGAATTTTGACTTATTATTTCTGTCTCAGGCTGAATGCAGTGAGACAACCAAACTTTGTGGTTTTCTCAAATGTCTGAGCTTTTCTGTATCTCTGTGTTTGCAGACCGTTGTTGCCTGCAGAGACAGATTTCTTAAAGCACTCAACAAGGCAACATAAACTCCTCCCTGTGTATGGCAGAATGGTGAATGCTTCTAATTTAAAGGGATGACTGAATGGACAGTGAGGCAGGAACCTGCACATCACTGTGTTCAGACTGGTTTAATATCTCTGCTGCCCCAAAAGTGTTGATAACGCAGTATGAAGCTGAGTTATGTGTCAGACCACAAGGCATGGGGATGCAGTGTCAGATGGAAAAATCATCAAGGGACTCAGCCATTATCCTGTGATCTTCAAATAATCTCTTAGAGTAAAAACATTTGGAATATGTTGATAACTATTTTGTCTTTTAAGCAGTATTCTGGTTATTTACTGTCAACTAATGGTGACTTTGAAGTTGCTCAAAGCGTGGCAGAGCTAATCATTGCATTGGCCTATGAAAGTACAACCCAGGAAATGGCTGTTGAAATGTAATTTGTATTTTTTTCCATCCATTTCTAGATATGCCTTAGAGTAGTAAGCTGTAATGCAAGGGGGCTCCTCCATGTGCTTGTAACAGCCACTGCTTCCAAAATTCCCTGTTGCTGCTGAATGCAGGGCTTGCTCTGTATCAATTTTGTAACTCTGTGTCTTGTACTGAATGAAAATGTTGTCAATGCAGTGTAGTGCAAGAAAGCTACAAAAGTACCCTTCAAGAATTTAAATGCATGTAGTCCGTGGTTATATGATATTATCTGTAAATAAGGTCTGATAGGCTTTAAGCACAGTTGAAAAAACCTGATTCCATGAGCCATGCTAATTTAAGCAGCAGATTTTACCCTGCAAAATATCCTTTTTAACATTAAAGAAACTCAGTTTTTAAATATGACTCATTGGAAAGAAATAATCTGTGTAACGTACAGAAGGCCATGAGTTAAAAGATTTTTGCCATAGAATTTGTGGAAGCTAATTTTAGAGTTCTTTTTTGTGAGCTATTTGTAAGCAGTCCACAGTCTGGAATGTGTCTCTGGATTCATGTATCTGTCATAAAATCTCAAACTCTGTTTAGCTACTGCCAGCTTTCTATCTACTTGTGTGATAAATCAATACCTGAGGATCACACAGATAGTCAAGGAGGTTCCCACATCCCATCCCTCGGCTTGGATTCTCTATGGCCATGTGTTATTCAGCTCATCAGGATGTCTCTTGACTACCAGGGATGGTCAATATTCATATCACTATGTATTGTAAAATGTGTTTTTTATACCTTTTCCCAGAGCCTTCCTTTCTTTGGTGTCTTGTTCTACCCTCTGTTGTCTCTGTTCTGGGAAATTCTTTCTCTCATGGCTCTGCAAGCTTGGTCCAGTGTCAGGAAAACTCACCAGAGGACAAAATATTGGCTATTCAAGGAGATTTTATTACCTATTGTTTTTCAGTTCAGGTATTTATGTAAACAAATACAATTTAGATCCTTCTCCAAACCAGGGGTTTGAGAGACACACAGGTAATGGTATGTATTTTGACCTGGAAGAAATCTTCTTTGGTCTTATTTCATACTGTCTTGGACAAAGACATGAGCCATAGACAAAGGGCAGTGATTTTTTACTCAGCTAAGTCCTGGGGAAGTCAAACTAATTGTCAAGAAGTTGAACAGTCTGTCTGGTGGTCAGTTCTAATATGTTCTCTGAAGTGCCACCTAATAGGCCATGGAGCAAAAGCAATGTCAAAGACACTGCTGAGGTAGCTGTGGGGAGAGGATTTTGTCCTCAGCCACGTTAGGCTGCCCTAGGAAAACATCCTCACATCCCAGCCTGTCCTGGGAAACCAGCAAACGGGGCTGCTTCCCTGGCACACCTATGGAGCTGACCTGGAAATGACATTGGGACGTGTTGAGATGATGGATGGATTTGGGGGTGTCTGTTCTGCTCAGAATTGTACCCAGACATGATTCCAACCTCAGGAGTAACCATGGAAAAGAAGAGCTGTTGTTAGCAATTATGGCTACTGGAGCAATGTGCAGATGACGGTGATGGGTGAGATTTGATTTGCACAACTCACGGCAATACAGGGGTTAATTGTCTGTGGAACTGCAGCAAGAGGGTTCATTTGAGCAGATTAGATTACCATGATTAGCTGTGCCTGGGGAGCAGCACAAAGTGATTCACCATTTCCAACTGGTTGGCTGCTGCTAGAATGAAAATAACCTGTGCAGAGAAAGAAATCAAATTATCATTGTTGAGAATATGATATGAGAGCCGTAGTCACCCCTCAAAATCTGTATGTCTAATTCAACCCAGGTAAAACAGTTCACAGATTTCTTCTGAACTCAGAAAATATACATGGAAGTGAGCTCTGAGGAGCTGCATAGAGCTGGATTATTTGGAATATCACATTTTAAAATGAGGGTTTTGAAATATGTGAGTTGGTTTGTTTGTTTTAAGAATTCATCCAAATCAAATGGAAGTAATTTAAAATAAATAATTATTAATTAGAATAATAGCAACAATGACTTTGAGCCACAAAACCAGAAATGCAACAGAAGCCTTGTTTTTGTCCTATATTTTTCTAAAACTAAAAAAAAAAAAAAATTGTTTTTCTAAAAGTGAAAAAAATAAAGTAAAAAGTGGAAACAGAATAATATTTCTGAGAGGCAGGACATTTTTTAGTTTGTGTTATCAGATGGAGCAACAGTCACTTGAAGAAATTCCATATAGCAAAACACGCCACATCTGTCAATTTTAACCTGAAATTTATTAACAGGAATGTCTGTACTACGAACATGTGTTAACTATAGGAATATATTGCATGTTTTCTTACTTGTCAGAAGTAAATTTCTGTCTTTACAAGCTAGCACTTACCATTAATTTCAGCTCTTAGATATTCCCATAGCATATTTTCTTAAACAAAGACTTAATCAGAAAAATCTTGTGTTATTTAGCAAGTAATGCTTGGATATTGCTACAAATTCTTGAAGTCAAAACACTTAAAATTGCAGTACATATATATTATTCTTACTATGATGATGTGAGTTGGCTGCTAGTCATTTAACTGTATATAAGGTCTTACTATTTATTAGTGCAATTACTTAAAATAAGTGTCTTGGAAATTGTTTTTAATTTCAGATTTAAAACTGTTCTTACTAAAGTTGATTTATTAGAGATTGGACAATGTATATTTAATAATTAATGTTCCCCAGTGATATTTATTATCAGTCAGGATGCTCTTTACAGTCAATAAATAACCTAAAAAATGTAAATTTTGTTGCCAGTTTTGTGTAATTCTTAGAGCAATGCTTTGGGAAATTGGAGATATATATATATATAAATATAAATATGTATATCTGATATATACCTTTTTTATGAAGGTTTTGTCCTACTACTTCAAATGTTTCTTTCTGTTTCTTAAACATATCTACAGCTACCAGCTTGTTATTCTGACAAAACCCTGTGAGAATAAATTATTTTTATTAATACTCTACATGTCAAAACCTTGCAGTCAGTCAAATAACAGGAGTGTTCATTGTCTCTCTCCCCCACTGATGCTGTTCTAGGAGTTGGAGTTAGAAGATTCAGACATCAAGTGAAACAGTGAAAGATGATAAGAAAACTCTTCATTCTCACAAGGTATTTCCTACTAAAAGAGATTGTTTTGCAGTTTTGTTTGCTCTTTACACTATTTTGAGTAAATGTGAATTCCTAAGACATGCTCAAGGCAATTAAATATTTATGCTCCCCAAACTGAATTTTTAAGCAACATTTTCTATTTACAAGAATCAGGTTTGGTTTGGTTTTATCTCTTTTCTTTCAGGTTGCAAGACAGTTTTTTTTATTATTATTACTATTATTATTTTCATTGGGGGAAAAAGGTGTGTATTCATAGTGTTTGTGAAGACTTTGCTCAGCTGAAAAAAGTAATAGGTAACATGAGTATAACATTGTGTTTTTCCATATTTCTATTTTTAAGTCCTATTACATGTGATATTTTCCATTTTGCCTTCTATTAGGCCTGAAATTGGAAATTATTTAAAACCTAACAAACCCCAGAGTTTATCCCTGTTCTTTGAGTAGCAACAGAAGTATGGCTGTCATGGTTTGACACATCAATGAAGAACAGCCTCTGCTCTGCAGCAGGTACTCAAGTGGAACTTTTGCAAGTGGGCTCTCATCAGGAGTGAAACACTGGCTGCTGACTCTGCTGCTTTTGCTCACAGACTGCTGCCTTTAGGAACCAGGTTTGTCCTTCTGCCTCTTTTGTGTTTTATATAGACTTGATTACAAATGAGGCACTTGTCCTCTTACCTGGGAGTTGCAGCAGGTCAGCAGCAGCAGGAGTTACTGGCTGCTTCCCATCAGCTGACTCCTTTTAGCCAACCCTTCCCATTTTCCAAGCAATTAGGAAGAAAACAGGGATGTTAAAAGTAGGGCCAGAGAGGAGCAAATTTGTCGCTGGGCAAGTTCTGTTTGCACTGAGGGAGTACTATCAATTTTGTCTCTGTCCTGTCTTTCACTGGTCCTGAAACAACAGTGCCTGCTTGAACAAACCCGCTCCTCAGGAGTGATTGGATCTGGTGCTCTGGGTGTTAGCAGCTGCAGTGCTGAACCACAGGCAGACATGAGATCTGACTGGATCACCCTTGCTAACATTTTCATGTAGAACCCATAACTCACTTGATCAGCAACACTTGCTCGAATGCTGCCTTTTGCCTTGGCTCTTCCCACTAAATAGTTCTTGAGCTGGGAAGTGGTCCTGATCTAAGAATCTGCAGTAATCTTTAATTCTGCCTTTATAACTCAGGAAACCACAGTAACCTCACCTTCATTTTAGAATGTGAACATTTTTTGGACAAACACTGAATTGTAGCTTCATTGACATGAGCTAAAGTAAACTCTTTTAGTGGTCCTAGAGTGGTAGCTGTAAAAGGCAATCAGAGTGAAGATCCTGAATGATTTTCTTTTCCAACCAGGTTTTAATGTATTTCCCCTGCAAATCAATTCATGTATCATAGAGCTCAATTCCCTGCCCATAAAATGAGAGTTGTTGCTCAGAACTGTGGAATTAGGGTAACAAGAACTGTAATGATACACTAGATAAACACTGTTGCAATACTCTCTCAGCCCTGTTAGGGTATTTTAAATTTGCAGCAGATCTCAGTAAGGATGAGAAAATGCTGAGCTGCATAAAAATAATGGAGACTGGAGGAGAAATTAGCCTTGCAGTGTTCTACAGTCCCAACATTTCCAACCACCACACCTGGTAGTGAAAATGCTGGTTTGTATTTGAAAAAAAGGAACTGCAATCAATCAAATGCACTGCCAAGTATAAATTAATTTCTGTAAGTCAAGTCCCTTAGGAACAATTCCTTAATAAAAGATCTGTTTCAAATCTCCTAAGTCTTCTAAAACCAACCCCAACAAAACATAGAAAACATAGTGTCTTTATTTGACCTGTCCTAGGCTTCATTTATTTATTTACAGTCTGAAGGATGAGTCAAGTACCTGCAGTGGTGCCTTTAGCAATGCAAAACAAAATATTTTGAATATTCTTATTTAGCGTTCCAGTTTTAATGAGCTTGGAGCATAGTGAAGGAGATCAGATGTTTGTAGGTTCTGGATGAGGGTAGAAATAATTAGAAAGCATCTTAAAAGTAACATCATATTTTTGTCAGCCATCTCTTCAGGGACTACTTTAAATCCCAGAATGTTCAAGAGCCATCACTGTACAAACAGAAGCTCCAACTGAACGAAACCAGAAGAAGTGGATATGGCAAATTCTCTGGTCCAAGTGGTGATATTAATCTGGTGAGGCTCTGGATTCCCATTTCAGACATACTATCACAGCTTAAATATAGGAAAAAATTGGGATTTTACTTTGCTGTGGTCTCTTTTTGTTTTGCAAAATATGCGGTAGTTAATATATGAGTAAAATCTTGTATAAAAACAGGTTGTTGTTTGTTTTTTGGTTTTTTTTTAACAAATAGCCAAATGCATATTACCTGCCTTGCTGGAAAATAATTGAGGTCTTCCTCTTTTGGTTTTTTTTTAACAAATAGCCAAATGCATATTACCTGCCTTGCTGGAAAATAATTGAGGTCTTCCTCTAAGAAATTTTTTCTCAGAGTGCCTTTCTTTGTGATTTGTGTTCTTATCTTGGGAAGATACAGGAGTTGCTCATTTTAATGCTGTCCAGCAGACTATGTTCCATGCTTTCTCAGCTGTTTGGATCTGCAGTTCAGGATTGGACTAAGAAAAATGGTGATGGGATCAAATTATTTTTATTCTTAAATGAGGACAATTCCAGTTTTAAACATACACATGTGCTTCCAATGCTTTCAGTAGTCAAGGATGAAATTTTGAACAGACATGAATTCCTCAGTCTTTGTTTCTTTTTCCCTGAAGGATGGAATTTGGACTTTGCCCACCAGTGCAGTCCTTGCTATAGGCAGATGTTTCTTCTGTTCTTACAGCAGTAGGAGTGGTTGGACACTGAACCTCAAAGAAGAGGGAGCTAACATCCCTTAGCTTTATAAGTCCCACAGGTAAGCACCTTGGAGAAGTTCTTCAACCAAAACCAGTTCCTGTAAGGCTTTCTAGCCCTTGACAGGAAATAAGCTGATTCCTGCAGGCTGCAACATGAAGACTTCCAGACTGAAGTGAGCATCCTGCTATAGGAAGGATTTGGGAGTAGTGAGTCATCATTTGTATGGGAAATTAATCTGTGATTTTTATTTATTGTTTTTTTTCATTTGAAGTAACATCACATCATCATAGAGAGACATTGTCTGTCATTTCTGGTGTGGATACCTGAATAACTCAGCTAGACAGGGAGCTTGATAAGGTGATACAATGCAGATATTGAAAGGAATTTTTTGGATTATTTTTTTGTAGATTCAAGCTGCAGTCCCTGATTTATTCAGGCTTTTAAGTACCATGCAAGCCTTTCCCACAGAAGAAATTCTGTTTTATGTAAATAATGCACTGTGCAGTAAGCTAGAAGAAAGCAGGGAGCAACAAAACTTCCTAGAACTTAAAATCTTCACATTTGGTGTGACTGTACAGTAAATGTTAGAAGAAAATTTTTAAAAGCTTTCTTCCTTTAAGTTCCATTGAAGCATTCACCCATTGTTTAATGTGCTTTTACTGTTACTCTCCATAAGTTTTCCCTGTTACATTTTTTTGATTGCAAATGGTTTACTGTGCTAGCTTTTTCCATTGTCACACAGTAAGAAGCCATAACTAAAGAATGATCATTTTTTTGTAATTTGAAATAATGATGGAAGCTTTATTCAAATGGAAAATATTGCCAACTCTGCTCTCCCTTGCCCCCTTGAAATCCAGTTTTAGAATTACAGAACTCTGTATTCTCCATTACAGAAAAATGAATATGTAGACATCTGCCTGGACTAATCAAGTAATCACTGCTCTTTGTGACCTTCAATGCCGTTCTTCACTCAAAAACCTCAAAGCACAAAGAATTTTTCTGAGGCAGGTAAGAGAGCCACTTGCATTTCCTCTTTGAGTCTCGCAGCCATTCCTGTAGCTCACGTGCCAATCATTTGGGCAGGCACATAAGAGTTGAAGCTATGGGGTGAACTATCCTTCAGATACAGTCTCTTCCTGTACATCTTGGAAAACTCTGAACCAAATAGTGTAGTTCAGCACAGTTCAGTGCTTTGACTTTGCTAAAATGAACTTGGCAGTAGCAGCACTACTGGAATATTGTGATTCTGGTGCCTATCATGAATAATTATAAATATCAGAAAAAAATGAAGCTGCAGCAGTAGTGGAATACTGTGATACTGGTGCCTGTTACAAGTGCTTCTAAACATCATAAATATTTAAAATGACTAACAGAAATCTAAATTCCTAAGTTAATCTCCAAGACTGCAATTTTTAAGGACCCAAATTTTACTGATCCTGAAAAACCTGGGGATTAATATTTCCTTGGCTTTTGTGTCAGAAAGCCACGCACAGTGGAGCTGTTTGTGCATTGAGGGCAATCTCCTTTGGCTTTCTTGAGCTCAAGTTCTTCAAGCAAGTATTAGTGTGAACAGCAGCAGCTTAAAGCACTCCCTAATCTTAAAGAGACCATAAGTAACACACTGCTTGAACAAGGTGGGTTTGGACCAGATTTAACAACGTGATTTGCTTTTTCCTGTGTTTTAGTTTAAATTTTGCTTAAAACGGAGTTGTTTTAGCACTGGAATAGTTTAGATTATTCAGCATTTATATATACGAGAAAAAGGGTTCTAGAGTTTTGTTCTTAGTGTTCATTGTAATGTGAGTTATGTAGCTAAACCCATAGAAATTCTGTGAAATTTTAAATTCTGAGGGGTCAAGGATTTGGTTTTGGGTTGGTTCTGTTATTCCTGTGCAGATTGGAATGATTTGTTCAAACTCTGTGCATGTTACGTGACATCTGTAGTAAGTGAATCCCAGAAGATTTTAAGATTTATTTTGAGTTTGTTTCAATCTTGAATGTAATTCTAAAATTATTTTTATCTAGTCACTGTAGATTGAAGCATCTTTGAGATTAATTACATTATATCTTGGGGATTAGAAGAAATGGGGAAAATATGTGAGAAATGAGGAGAGCAAATTATTGTCTTTCAATGAAGTAAGTACCAACTCAGATCATGTCATACATTATGAATAATCTCATTTTTGCTGGAATCCTGTACTATATTAAAGACATTATGGCAGGTAAAATTACCT